ACGTCACAAAAATTTTTTTTTGAAGCGAAAGGAAAGGATTTTTGTTTTTAAAAAATTTTTTTTTTTTTTTTTTTTTTTTTTTTTTTTTTTTTTTACACAATAGTAGTGGAAATTTATCTGGGTGTTGCTAGGGCTATTGTAATAATTGGATATGCTTTTAATCCAAACAAGTCCACTGGAGCACTGGCTGTGTGTTTAAGGCTCCGCTCCAAACTCAAGTCATTTGCAGCCTCAAGATGTTCAGTGTTGGGTTTTGCTCCAGAGTTTTGGGTGTAGATTAAAAAACAAGGGAAGTAGGATTTATGCCTTCCTTTCAAGAATGACTTTCCTGTTGTACCACAAGGTCAGATTATTGAAGTAAATGATCTAACACTTCATCTCAGCTTTATCTTTGTCTGGTGTGTTCCATATGTCCATTGATGTTTTATACAAAAGTATGAGTGTGAAGCAGAGTCACAATTTTTAAATTTAGGGGTAATTAAAAAGAAACAAAACCAAAAAAAAAAAAAGCAAAAATGTTCAAATTGTTTTTTCTCCAACTTTACAATCGTGCTAATTTATCTTGGTCAATTGCATGGAATCCCAATGAAATACATTTGAATTTGTAATGGAGCAAATAGTGGACAAAGTTCAAAGGATACAGATACGGAAAAAATAATTTTTACTTAAATTTTTCAGAAACGTTTCGCTGTCTTATATTCTTTCCTTTTGTACATCAGGCACAAAGATATTTTATATCCAATTAGAAGTTTAGTTATTTAAGTCAACTAGTGTTCTGAAACTAAAAAAAAAAAATGTTGAACATGACAATCTAACAGCTGAATGTCCCTGGAAGTAAACATTTCCATTTTATCAACTGAAAATCATTTTAATGTTAAAAGAAACAATCACACAGAGAAAAGAAAATGCACAAATAACACAGAAGAAAAAGAAAGCTGCAAAAGTTACAAAAAGCTCTGCAGTGAGAAGGGGTGAGCAGTTAGCACCACTGACCTTTTATGAAAACCCCAATATAGTTTAAAACAAACAAACAAACAAAAAATTATTAACCCAACAATTTGGTTCTGCTCAATACATTTTAATTACGGCCAGATCAGTGCTACTTTTGACACATGCAAAACTCAGGGGAACATCTGCACAGCTTGCCAATTTTGAGACCAAAAACCAGAGAAATATACTCCACTGGACTGATGGAATGTGGCCGAGTCCAGTCAGAGCAATAAAATCATACTGCAAATCATATTTAAAAAAGAATAAAAATAAAATGTTTGGAGACACGAAGTCAAGGCTTACCCAAGTCTGGCTTTAGCTCAGTAGGTAAGCTTAATTTCCGTGACATCTTTGCTGGAAAAAAGAGAACATCCCTCTTTACAAACACACATCTAAGCTATGACACGGTGCCATGCAAAGCCAGGTACCCAGCACTGGACAAGAATTGTGTACAATGCTGAGACACACCTAAAGAAAAAAAAAACAAAAACAAAAAAAACAAAAAACAGAAAAGCTGTGACATGTTCCAGGGAATTGGTTTACTGACGAGAGGAGTCAAGATGCTACGTAAAAACATAGAGGCAACTCCTATATCGCGAAGGCATGCTGTGACAGAACACCAAAACAGGGGACCTCTAGTTGTACAAATACCTAAAGAGAAGACCGGTAAGACAGACCAAAACTGCAAGGGCCATTCAGGACTGTCATGCCAAAGAAGCATGCAGCAAGAACCAGGAAGTAATAATAAAGAACATCAGAAATGGAAGAAGACAGTGACAGTGGAAAAAAGGTGATTTGACTTGACTGGAGTGGGTTTGCCCTTTTTAACATCACTTTTTGTGGAAGTGAAAAACAAATGAATATAAATAAAGGCTAGAGGTTGTTTCGCTCTCTGCAGTAGAAAGACGAAGGAAAAAGATGTACAAAAACAACTTTATCACTCACTGAGATATAACATTCTCTACAAATTGTTATGAGGCTTAGATGTGGCAGGAGTTAACATTGGTGCTTTAATATATGACCAGACTCTATTCCAAAAAAGCGAACGTGAAATCTACACCTCTACCCTAAGAACAAATGAGGTTGCATGTGTGTATGTTTAAGATCTTTTATAAATAAAAGAAACAAAATTAATTCTTTCAGTTTTAGAGCTACCATGCTGAATCATAAAGCATTGTCTCATTCATGCCTATTTGTTTACAATTTTAAGGCGCACAATACTTCTGAAACAATGTGATTGGGTGAAATCACCAAGTTCATTAATATTTAATGCTTTTTTAATTATAATTAAAAATGGCAAATGGTATATATTGTGTGCATTTTACCTAGAGATGTAGTGACCAGGAGATTTATTCCTAGTTACAGTTTAGAGGCATGTAAATAAGTAGTTACACAATCTGAACTAGATACAGCGTTAACATGTCAACATGTTTTGCATGCATATGCTAAAAAAACAACAAAAAATCTTAATAAATTTCATCCACATTGCATGGTCCAATTGTTATCAAGATTGTACATCACTCAACTCTGTCACAAAATTTGATTGTTCTACTATCTATTTTTCTTGACAGGAGCAGAGTTTCTACATTGCAGCCTTAAACTGATGGTGACACATCTATGATGTTTTGATAACACCTTCGACATAAGCAAGACAAACAGCAAACGAGGGGCCACAGAAGCACCAGCGCAGGAAAACTGGTTGGACTGTACACTTAGGAGTGGAAGTCGTAAAGGACACAAGAAGAACGCTTACTCAGTGGTGAGGGCCTAGATTAAAGATGGAGTCGGACAGCAGGGACAGGAACCGGAGGTCCCGCATCACGAAGGCAACCAACATTACCGCTCATAGACCTGATTGAAGTTCCCGAGTCAGTACTGGTGGGGCGTGATGGTTTAAACCCAGTTTTACCCGGTCAGTGTTCTATCTGCAGGTTCGCCTATACCTTTAACTTTTAGGTAGTCAAGTGGTCGTCTCAGTCCCATGCCAGGATTCATTCATGGCTTGTCCAAGTACTTCACTTACCAATCCACTGTGTAGCATCAACAGGCGGTGTATAGACTTGTTATTTCTGAACAATGCTTGTCCCTCGAAGGAAAACTGCACGGAGCCACATAACTAGTTTGCACGACAGAGACTGGTTTCTTATCAGGATTAAGCAGACGATGACAAAGAACGGCCATGCAACACCACCAACACAATCCAGACAAGCTATCAGTCTGTTAGTTTGTAAATCTGGACTGGAAGAAGTTTCCTGTGTTGAGTCAGTTATGCCCCAGGCTCCACTCCTGATGTCTCCTGCCAATTTCTTTAAGTTTTAGCTTCAACTAACACAAAAATATAATAGTCTGACATGATAGAGCTGCAATCTTCTATAAACTCATGTCTAGCTCCTGCTGACAATGTTGCCAGTGGAGCAAATTGCTGGACTAAAATTCCAGTATTTCCTATGTGTTTTGACAGAAGGTGTCTATTATTATTCTCGCAAAATATATATATTTTTTGTACATAAAACTTACAACGTTTTTTTATTCCGTCCTAAAAACTTAGCACTTTGGCTTAAATGTCAAATATTTTGCAAGTCCTGTATTAGTTGAGCTCTGGGCACATTCCTCCCACGCTGACCGTTTTCTGGAAATGTCTGAGCACAGTGCAGAGCAGGTCATATCACACACACAGACACAGAGGTGCGTCAGTCAATCCAGTCCCTCTTAATTCAAACATCACTGCAGCACGTAGAAAACTTGGATTGAAATGCTCAGTTGTTAGATTTAATATTGCAGATACTAAACAGTTAGGTAATGAATTGATCTACAGTCTATTCTTCAATATAAGGTTTAGGGGCATCTCAAATGTGACACTAAAGTTTTTGCAGACTTTATTTTGTTTTTACCATTGACCAAAGCACTGGAGATAAATGAATACAAAGTTGGAACAATGATGGGCTCTGGGGTTTCATACCATATTGTAAACAATCATATCAGGACAGACGGCAAACGCAAACACACTTACAGTCTCTGACACATGTGCTACATACAAGTAGCATGCAGGATGTGTATCATACAACTAATTTGTCTCAAAGCAGTTGCAATGTCATCGTCATTCTAGGTCATCCTCTGCTCCAAGAACTTTCAGTTTTCTCAATGTTATGTATTTTTTTTTTGCATTCAAATATATATATATATTAAAGAATTTGTTGTATAAAAACAAATTAAGCCATCCACTTATATTGAAATGCATACAGAACAAAAAGGTAGTGGAACAGAAGGTAACCTTGACATACTGTGAAATTTCTTTTTTTTTCCGTTTATTTCACTTAAATTATTTATTCCAAGTAGTATTTGCTGACTATAGACACCAAGGACAACGGAAGTGTATTCACAACAAAGAAAAACAAATAAACAAACAACCAAACAAAAAAAAAAAAAACAGGTACCAAATTGGGACCATATTTGTCCTGCCAACAGAGCCTCTTATGGAAACTTTGGGCCAGTCTTACCTCCTCTACCACCTCCATTGTAGAACTGTTGAAGATTGCTGTGTGACATCAAGACTTTTGGGATAAGGGGAGGGGGAGTAAAGTACAGTAAATGTACAGTTAGAAACAACTTCTTGAGTCAGTTTAGTTTTAATGGGAAAAGTATATTTTTTTTCACGCAATAGTTCTTCAGAATATCAGCTTAAAGTTGCAGTATCTTTTATAAAGAATGTTTTTTTTTTTTTTTTTTTACGTATTTGCTAAAACTGTCACTATGTCGAGTATAATATGACAAAGCTAATGAGTTCCTCTGCCTCCTCCATGTGGTTCTACAGCCGGAGAAGATTGATTTGTTCACAAATTATACGTCTCATGTTCTACAGTCAGGATATAGAAACAGTTATAACAAATATGCAAAAAAAACTTAAATAAAATAAAATATATATATATATAAATTACCAACTGCTGCTTTAATTTCAGCTTTTCATATGGGCTTGTGCAGAAGTGAAAAAAGTTTGTGTGAAAAACAAAAAAAAAGAAACATATACATAAAGTTTTAATTTCTTTACGTTGTGTGCTTATGTCATTTTTAATTATTTTTGAACAATTTAGAGGATAACTGTGATTTAAAAAAGCAATCCATGTTGTTATCCCATCAGAAAACCCTGATACTTTTCTGAAAATAAAAAAAAAAAAATAAAAAACTTGGGTTTAGACCAAATGACTATTTAAAGCAGTTAACTTATGCTGGAAAGCCCCTTATCTCTCTCTTCACCATAAATTATGCATAGCAGACCGATGTATCATACTGTGGGGTCTTGATGGCACCAGACATGGGGGTTGGAACTACAATCACACCTGGAAACAGCAGGCAGACTCGGAGACGTGATTTGTATCTGACCTTTAAATTTCATCATTTTATCGCACAGATGCCAACTCACCCATAATGAGAAGAAACTGGGCCATTTTGTTTTCCCAAGGGTACCAGCAATGTAGATTATATGAATGGAAACAGAGGAGCATCTCTGCAAACCAGAAATCTGTACTTTTGTTACCATTTATAAAAACTGCTTATGCATTTAGGGGAATAGATGTAAGTGGACCCAGGAAACAAACTGAAGGATATTGACATAAAATCTAAGTTGAGAATTCATTTGGATATTCTTGGGAACATATTAAATGCATCACAGCGCTTCTATTATTATTTTTTTAGATAATTATACCATTGCGCAGGTACTGAAAATGCAAAAATTATATTTCTCCAACTGAAACTAATAGGATTCTCTTACACATTGTTAAATGTAAAGCTGCATTCACTTTGCAACTATCAACAGTAACACTAAGCTCATATATGCTACAAAGATTTACAGTTTCCACAAAATATGATGATCTATAAAAGAAATTTGAATTTTGTGTATCGGACTCTGAGAAGAAGTTAATGAATATGTGTGGAAATGGGAATATGTTGTATGGACTAAAAAAAAAAAGTATTTCCAAATGCTGAGGATGAGTGAAACTGAGAGTAAAGCAATGATATGGTTTAACAAAAATGTGCACCGTGAAGTTCTGCTTTAATAAGCAACAATTAAGAATAATATTTTTTGAAAAGCAGCAAAAAAGACTGATGTCTGCTCTGTCTACACTGTATAAAAGCTATAACGCACAATTTGGACTTGTACTGTTTGGACAAACCCGTTTCAACAGGCACACTGAAGGACATGTTACCTGAAGTTGGAGACTTGCAGCGATCCTCCGACGTGGCCGAACACTCGTTAATGTCACACAAGCCTACAGCGGAGCAGATGAAACACAAATCGGCATTAAACTTGAATGAATGAAATCTTTATTTTGAAAATGTAAACGATATATGTCGGCTCAAACAAAACGCAGTAAAAATAAGCAAAACATACAAATGGATGGGCGGTGTTCTGCTTTGAAAAGAGCGGAGTGGGTTCCATTCAGTTTCCATTCAGTTTGAATGTTTGTTTCCCTTTTTGCCACATACACGTTTCCGTGTGTGCAGTCATGCGCATGTGTGACATTGTCCTATGGGGCAGAAAGCCAGTCAGACCGCACTCCCTCTTGGCACACAAACACAGCTGGACGTCTGATTACAGCTGAAGCTCGCCAAGCCCCGACATGAACCAGCCTGGTGCCCATAGTGACACCAGATGTAGTATTCATACAGCAGATTTTTCTGCAACATTGTGGAAATGAAGATGACTAAATTCAATATTTTCAGTTTTCGATAGTTGTTTTCAGTAGCAATCGATGACGAGTCATTATCATAAGGTCATCACTCGGCATGTGTGCGTTCCTTGCAAACTTGCTAATAAGACAAATGGGAATTGGGTTTCTAGCAGGCAGTGTATCTGCAACTGCTGTTGTTCAGCACATGATGGCAGTGTGTCGACGCTGAATCCAGTTACGTGTTGCAGATGCTTTGGAGCTCAGGGAGAGAAAAAAAAAAAAAAAAAAAAACATGCCATCAAAAGGTATGGAAGCAGGAATGTGGAGACCATAAACAAAAATGGAAAAGGTCGAGTTGTGAGCGCTGTGTTAAAATGCTTTGTCATGGATAAGCCTGGCACACTAGAGTTGGATAGCATCAATTTATCTGACCTTGCAAAAGTGCTCATAATACTTGCCCCTTTTCTTGTTTTGTCATGTTTCAGCCCCCCCCAAAAAAAGATGTATTGAATGGTTTTGATTTCTACCAAATAAAAATCTAAAAGATGTTATATTAATTTAGTGACCCTCTGTTACTCTAATACCTTTAACTAAAAAAATACACTGCAGCCTCATAGACGACAAAAAAAAAAAAACTATTTTAATTAAAACTGTCCTCTTAATTATAACTTAATGTCAATATTAATACAACAATTCCCTGAAGACCTGAGAGGGTTGTTAGAGAATATTAATAAAAAAATTAAAAAAAAAGCTGTATCACGAAGACCAGCAGACAGAGCAGGCAGGTCGGGGATTCAGCCGCAGAGAGGTTTAAAGCAGGGTTAGGTAATGAAACAATATCTCAAACTTTGAACAGAACTCTGGGCACCGTTCAATCCGTCAGCCGAAAATAGAACGAGAATGGCAGGTCTACCAAGACATGCCTGTCTGCGTATAACTACAGGTTCGGCAAAGGGAGCATTAATCAGAGAAGCAGTCAAGAGGGCCACGGTAACTCTAGAGGAGCTGAAGAGACTCGCAGCTTTCATGAAGAATTTGTTGACAGGACAACTATTTGTCTTGCACTTAACAAATCTGACCTAGATGGAAGAGTTGCAAGAAAAAAAAGTGCTGAAAGAAAGCAATAGGGAACCTTTTGTATTTCAAGATATCTAGGAAACGGGAAATGTGAAAGAAGGGTTTGCTTATAACTAATTTACTTATAACCAAAATGCTGTATTAAGAAGCAAAGCACTCTGGACTTTGCTCTATACACATGTGTATAGAGCAAAGTATTGGACCCCATGATGTCCAATATTGGACATCATGGGGTCCAGTATTACAGCTAAAAACACTTCAATAGTGTATGAAATCCTATTTGTGGCTTCAAAAGTCAGTCACCGTTTAGCAGGAATACAATCCTAAACACACAAACGAAAATAAAATGGTTTGATCAAAGGACATTTCTGTGTCAGAACGGCCTAGTTAAAGCCACATCTAGATTCAGCTGAGGTTGATTGGTAGAACGTGAAAATGAATGTTCACAGAAGCCGTTCACGAAATCTGACTGAATGAGTAATTCTGCTAAAAGGAATGGGCATGTATTTTAGTTTTGATGTGTATAGGTACACATCAAATGACAAACCTTCCCACTCCACAGTCCTAAGTATCTCTACTACATAAAATTTGTGGCTGTAACTTGAAACGATGCGAAAAAAAGTGATTGGGAATAAATATTTTAGCAAACCATCGTGGATGCAGTGTATGTGTGTCTCATATTTAGATCAGTTTACAGATTAGATCAGGGACTAAACACTAGTGGTGAAGCTTCCGAGGCAATAACAAGTCATCATGCTTAATGACAAGCTAAACCTGTCATCTGAGAAAAAAAAAAAAGCAAATTTGAATTAATTTCCTTTGGGATTTTGTGTATTAATATGGCCACTGGTGAAAGGCTGAAAAGAACAGAATTATATTTCTAAATGCTTAGATTGATTTTTTTTATTACAGTGTGAGTTTGTTCAGTCACTTTGTCATCGCTTTATCATTTTTAACTTATTTTAAAAAAAGGCCACTAGTCTGCCTCATATTTTGTTTAGCTTTTGGTTTCACTCATGTTTTTCTGCATCTTTTTTTTTTATTTCTCAAAAAAATAAAGGGAACACTAAATCCAAATGAATCGAATAATCTGGATTAAAGCATCGGTCAGGTCCTGGACAGTCCGTGCTGCAATGTGGTGTTGGTGGATGGAATGAAAAAAAGATGTGCTCCATTTGATTCAGATCAGAGGAATGTACAGGCCAGACCATAGCATCAATACCTTCAACTTACAGGAACTGCAGAAACACGTCAGCCACATGAGGCCTGGCATTTTCAGGAACCGAGGGCCCACGGCATCGGCATACGGTCTCACAATGAACACAAGAATCTTCTCCCGCTACCTTATGGTAGACCGGGCATGTCTGGCTAGCACATGGAGGACTATGCAGCCCTCCAAAGAAATGACTCCCCACACCATTACTGACCCACTGCCAAACCGGTCATGCTGGGGGACGTTGCGGGCAGAATAACATTCTCCACGGCGTCTCCAGACTCCGTCACGTGCTCAGCGTGAACCTGCTCTCATCCGTGAAGAAAACAGTGGTGAATCTGCCAATCCTGGTGTTCTCTAGCAAATGCTGATCGCTCTGCTCGATAATGGGTTGTAATCAAGGACTCGCCTTGTGGACGTCAGGCTCTCATGTCACCCTTATGTCCGCTGGCCTGTCTCCCCGTACCTCTGCCATGCTTTGGACATTGTACTGACAGACACTGCAAAGCTTTATAGCACATCCCATTGATGTGGCCTGTTGACTGTGGGTTGTAGACCTCATTGCATGCCACCACTTAGATGTCAGCCAGAAAGAATGAGACAGCCTGACAACCACTCCTTTTATAAGAGTCATCTTGCTAATTGCCTCTCACTTCCACCTGTTGTCTGTTCCATTTACACAACAGGAGGTGAAATTGTTTCACATTGAGTGTTGCTTTCTAACTGGACAGCTTGACTTTACTTAGACATTGTGTTATTTAGGTGTCCCTTTATTTTTTTTTTAGCAAAGTTCTATTTCTACATTTTTGTTGCATGTCGATTAGCGTCTCATTGAGAAAAAGAAAAACAAAAACAAAAAAAAACAAACAAAAAAAACAACAACAACCTGCATTTAAAAATCTAAAATCTTCATTGTGGCTGGTTGCAGAAATTTCAACAAACTTTTCATCTTTCACATGTCTTCTTTGTCCTTTACCTCCCGAAGGTTGCCGCGTTTTCCTTGGCGACCGAGGCTGTCTCTGGTAGGGATCATTGGATCCGTAAAGCTCCACCGTCCCCAGATTGAGAACTACCGTTTTCTGGATGTAGTCCACCACCGCCAGGCCGTTACTGTTGCCAAACACCAATCTAGGGAGCAATTGAAGCAAAGACGGAGGCAGTGGAAGAAGCACAAGGGCAAGAAATTTAAGAAACAAGGATAAAAACGCATGGGTTAGAAACAAAGTTATCCAACAGCATCGACTCCGAACGGCTGGATTAAAATGCACAGTACACTTAAGATTCTATGAAGAAAAAACATATCAACATTGTTAGAAACTATGTATCATTTTCCATATGCATTTCAGTTGTTCACAACTTTATGCTGATCAATCACATGAAATGCCTGTAAAATAAGACTAAAGAGTTTGAGGTTCCAAAGGGACAAAAAAAAATATAACTAATTTTATCAGGCAATATAACATCATCAAATGAAACCTCTAGATGAAGCTGAAACAGATTCCAGTGTTCTTACAAACTCTCGGTGTATCCACTTACAGGCCGTAGGAGGAATTCATCGCCAGACTTGTGATCTGCTGAGGAGGCTCTCCACTCACCCACACTGACTGGACCACCAAATCCACCTGGTAGCCTGGAGACTGCTTCAAAGGAGAACTTCGTACTCTGTAGAAGAGACAAAAAAAAAAAAAAAGGAATGAGAAAAAGGCAAAAGAAGAGCACAAAAACAAGAGAAGTACAAGTGGTGCAGCTGGATATGTGTAGCAGATGAAGCTCTGTGTGAGAGGGGGAGATGGGGGGGTTTGTGGCTGAGAACGCTCGAGGCCTCTGAATAACTCTATGCAGCTGTGCTCGAGGCTGAAAGCAAGACTTGTGTGTGTTAGTGTGCATGCAAGTGCTCCTACTTCTTTCATGTGAGCCCTTTTCTGTGCATGTCTGTCTCGTACTTAAGGCAGGGTATGTTGCCTCCGTCAGAGTTGTTGCTGCTGGTAGAGGGGTGTGAAGGTGGGCCGCTTGTCTGAGGGGAGGCACCAGGGGTGGGATGTGCCGATGTTTGTTCGCCACCTCCACCATCTGGAGACTCCGTTTCGTTCAGCTCGTACTGCATTCGCACCTCTAGTAACTGCAAACACACACAGATGTGCACAGGACGACAGCGGAGATGAGAATATATTAGCGAATATCAGGGTTCCTATGCATTTTCAATTTTATTTCCTGTCAAATTTCATTCTTTTTTTTATGATAGCGGTTTTAGAATTAACATATAAAGTGTTTTCTGGTACTGTAGTACCACATTTATACTGTGTCTTGCAAAATTATACATACACAGCAACCTTTTCTCACTTTGACACATTACAATCAGAACTCTGTATACTTGGATCCCCCAAAAATGATGTGCTATTTAATCTCTGTATAAACGTAAGATTGATAAAATTGCTAACTTAACTGCAGATGCGTCTATTGGTCTTTATTAGATCAATAAACACATTTAAGGCTACTTAAATGTAGCCTTAAATGCCCATCTAAAATAACAGGGCAGGGAAAGCTTTAGTCAGAGAAGCAGCCAAGAGGCCCTTCATAACTCTGGAGGAGCTGCAGAGATCCACAGCTCAGGCGGGAGAGAATCTGTCAACAGGACTATTTATTGGTCGTACACTCCAAAAATCTGCCCCTTATAAAAAAGAAGTCCCATTGTTAGCCACGAACTATGTTAGGGTGTGAAAAGGCAAACATAAAGGAAATTCTCTAGTCAGATGACATTGTGACTGACTGACTGCGCCTGCAGTGCTAGGTGTGGTGAAAAATTCATGGGTAAGAATGGCCCAGTCAAAGTTCATACCTAAATCCAATTGAGAATCTATGGCAAGGTTTGAAAACTGTTGTTTACAGGTTCTGTCCACCCACAATGACTGAGAGCTTGAGCTATTTTGCAAAGAAGAATTGGCAACAATTTTAGCCTTTAGACTGTGAAGCTGCCAGAGCTAAAATTGCAGCTCGAGTTGGCTCTACATCATAATCACTTCGGAGGGCCGAATACCAATGCAAGCTTTTCAGAAATAGGAACAGAATTTTATTTTAGTGGGGATGATACATTGTACGGCTAATGCAGCCGATATGCTGCACAGATTTGATAGCTATAGGTAATTTCCCACTTTTGTCAGAAGTCGTTTTTTTTTTTTGTTTGTTTGTTTTACTTTTTCTACTATCAACTTAATTTGCAAATGTATTTCAAAAAAAGTAATTTTCCTTCAACTGCAAAATTAAGAGCTACTAAGAGTTGCACTTTCATATAAAATTCAAACAAACAGCAGCAAAGCGTAAATGTGACAAAATGTGGAGACATTCACATGTGGCTTTGCGTGGCAACAACAATTATTCAAACAACAGGATAACGTGATGGTGAATGACATCTGCATGCGTTCAGACAGTCGCCTGTGATGAAATGGATTTGTCAGTGATGGGTCTTGCATGTATGTGTGTGGGCAGACTGAAAGTCAAAGAGGTCCTCGAATACTGAAATACTTTATTCCTTCCAAATCCCCCTCTAGGCTACCCCGTTGCAACCTCCGCCTTCGCAAAGATACACACAGCTCCTGAGCTCAAACACAATGCTGATAAGCTTTTCTCCTTGGCATTCTGTCAGCCTCATTAGCCCCATTGACATGTGGGAGTTTAGAGTGATCAGTGCCCTTCTTCAGATTCTCTCCCTCTCTCCTCTATCTTCACTCCTACAAAGGTTGTGTAGAAGTTTGGCCTTATGCAAAAGAAAAGAAAAAAAAAAAAAAACACTTTTCCAGCTATATCCTCGTATCTAGCCCTGATTCCACACTGCAGCATTTGTGAGGTGAGCGTGTAAGTTTGATCAGACTCTTTAAATTCATGAATGCTTTTTGAGGGTTTTAAATATTTATGACAAACAGTTCTGAACTTAAAAAAAAAAAAGAGGGCATCAGTGAGACGCATCACAGCACTGCCCACACACTGTGATTGAAAAGAGCCAGGTGCAGCAGCAGCAGCACAGAGAATAGATTAACTGCATTTGTTTTTATTCAGCTAAACACAGACTCCCACTGCACTGCCATTAACACTTAGGTTGCTATCAAAGAAGATTATAACGTTGGTCTAGCTTTGCTTGCTTCACTGCTGTCTGTTGGCATGGCAACCTCACTGCCTCTGAGTGTGTGTGTGTGTGTGTGTATTGTTTATATGTCTAAGCGTCTTAAATCGGGACAGGAACCAAGTGTCGAAAGCAAATCACAAGAAAACAAAGGCCCTGTTTGGTGATGGAGATTGTTTCCATTACCTTGTTATCCTGAACACAGGTTTTCTTTTTTTTTTTTCTTCTTTTTTTCAAAAAAATCTAAACTTTTCAAGACTCAGCTTTGCAGACCTTTCTGTCATTTACGTGCATTTTCAGATTTAGAAGACTCAAGTTCTGTATGAATTTATGACAAATATATTAATGATGAAAAGGTTTTAAATACTGATCTCGACAAAACAAAAAGTGGGAGAAGGAAAGAAAGAAGGAAGACATGGAAATAAAGGAAATGATGATCCGATTCTTTTTCGGACTGTGTAGGAACTCTGTTGTGTGTACGAGCTTGCACTGCTGCAGCTGACTTTTTGAAAAAGTAAAAAGCAACATTTTAAATAAAGGCAACAACTGGAACCCACCTGCACCACCTCAGTAGTTACTTCGAGCTTGCTGAAGCGGTAGATGATAACGTTGGCTGACACCCCGGCCACGCAGAGCATCCTGCTCTCAGGGCACCAGGCCATAATCTGAATGGCGAAGGGATCTTCGTCCGACACCTCGGTGCTGCCCTTGTCTTCCTTGGATCGGTTCCTGTCAAAAACCTTTGCCGTTTTTAGCTTATAGAGCACCTGGAGCATTACTGAAAAGGAGCCAAGGGAAAAAAAAAAACAAAAAAAAACAAAAACATATAAGTTACGGTGTCAGAAAGGTAAAGACTCAGAACTGAACGAGGGCTTTATTCACTTTACTCAATTCTGTGAGAACGAACCTAACCAAAAATAATCTCCAACACTGAATATCTCAGATGTTCTCTCAAATGTACCTCTTTGGCTGAAAGTTTGGAAAAAGTTCTATTTTAACAAAAAAAATAAACAGAAAACAGGATGCACAGATTAACAGTGGGAATGACGTACTTGCAGAGGCATCCCAGAACTTCACTGTTCCATCAGCATGACTGGAATGAAATAAAAAAAGACATTTTGTAGAAGAATAACAGGGAGAAAGTCAATACTGACAATCACAAAAACCCTAGCTAGACGTTTGCCACAAATTTGATAGGAGACAGAGCCAAAATCTGGAAGAAAGTGATCTGGTCAGATGATGATGAAACCAGACCTTCTGGCCTACATACAGAAAAACGTGAGGTGGAAAAATAACGTGGCACATCATCCTAAGCATTTCTTTGTTTTTCCTATTTTGAAACATGAGGCTGGCAGCCTTATGTTGTGAGGGCTGCTTTTTGTAAAACAGGAACAGTTCAGCAGTTGAGTTTACTGTTGGCGCTAAATGCAGGGTAGTCCCTGAGCGAAACCCGTTAAAGGCTGCGAAAGAGAGCGAGCGCGGCGAGGCTCATCTTTCCACAAGGCAACTAAACATCTAGGCAGACCAACAATGGAATGATTAGATCACTGAATGGTCAAATCCAGACCAACTAGATATCCCATTGTGAATATGTGGCAATATTTTAGTTAGAATCTTTATGCTGGAATGAAAGAAAGGAAAAAAGTAATAAAAATAAGCATTCTGCCCCATAATTATGTCCTGTTTGAGATTTAAGGTTGTAATAAAAATAAGAATTTATTGTTTGTCAGTGTACATTATGTACAATGAGATTAAATGTGATGAAAATGTGAAAAAGCTTCATGGCATATTTTTTTTTCTTTTCACTGCATACTATCATTCCTTTATACTGACCTTTCAATTTCACAAAAGTTATTATGGTTTGATTCTCTGTTTTCACAGATTCCTCTCTGAGCAACATTGCAGGTTAGTCGGGTGATACTAGTCAGTGGTCTACAATAATAAACATCATTACAGATTAGATTAGATAATTTTAAAGTGAGAAAAACATAGATCTCTCAAATTTCTAAAGTCAATGACAGAATGTCCTTTAGCCATGTACCACAATTTGTATTGACGAAAGCAAAGTTATCTCCCATACTGGTCACAAAAGTGTAACTTCTTTATTAAATTATTTCCCTTTTCAAATATGTTGACATTGTCATATCTTTAGCATCAGCTAAGGTTAATGGACTTGCGACAAAAGTGCTGCAAGCCCCAGCGTTCTGGAGAGAACCTTAACCTCTGCAGACTAGCAATTGAGCACATTTGTGAGTTTTCCTCTGGGATTAATAAAGTATATTCATTCATTCAGTCAGTCAGTCATAGAGGTGAACAGAAAGGAATAAGAGAGGAGTTCTTAGTGCACTAAGAAAACCCTGCTTCTGCTGAATCTTTATAACGACTAAAAAACAACAAAAAAATCTAAATTAGGTGCCCGCTGCGAAGGAAAATGTAAAAATCTTTCTCGCCGAGTTGACCTAAAGAGTGCAGTTAAGGTGGAAAACAATTGCAGCATCACGTCAGTGATGGTGCTTCTCATCTTACCCGGTGATGATGATCTCGGAGTAGCTCTGTGTGCCCTGTCCCCAGTTTCCACCACTAATAGGCCACTCCTTGATGAAGAGAGGACACACACATTAGTTAACAGGTATGTCAACGAACAGCTGTCGCTGTGCACGCCACTTCTGCACAGAGATGTCACGATGAACGTCTGCATGTGTGAATTTACAGATGGCAACACGCAGAGAGTCTTTCGGCATCTCTCTCAGTGTGTCTTGCAATAACACATTATACACCTCTGCGAGAGATTGTGTGTGTGTGTGTCAGTGGGGGGTCAGGCTCTCAAGTCTTCGACACACACAAAGGTCACCAGTATGACTCATGGTGATCTTCATATGAGAAGGCCCCCCTGCAGCTCAGTGAAGCTTTTCTTCAGCAAAAAAGAAAAAAAAAAAAAAAGAAGAGGCTAGGCTGCCAGTTCAGGTCAGTGCATTCTGACATTTCCAACAGAAAGCCGAACAAGGCGACAAGGAAAAGAACATAAGCATACATAATGGCTGAAAGAGCAGGAGGGGGGTCTGTCTGGTATGATATAAGAAAGGCAGAAGAGAATGAGAGGAGACTGGAGGTGTGCAGAACGAAAAATAGAATTGCTGAGAACTAGTAGATTTATGCATGTCTTGCTTCACGACGACATTAATTAATATTACTTTAGTTATAATTAGATTGTTGAGATTATATTGGAGTCCAATTTGTAGTTACATAAAACTGCCCTTTAATCCTTGCAACTTTATTGTTTTTGGAGTATGGCATAAAGGTTAGAAGGTGTTTTTTTTTTATATAATTTACATACATAATTTGTATATTATGAGTCAGTAAGGTATAAAGGGTAAAAATTAAAATCAGCACATTTTATAACTCTCTGGTTTGAAATAAAGTCTAAACTGCTACATCTATGGATCTAAAATATTAACAGTGATTTAAATGGGGACATTTGTTTCAATACTTTTTGATTATAACTGAACACAGTATAAAAATTGTAATTGGAGAACTTGACAAAACAAAATATTTTGTTCATTCGGGTTCAATTATTTTTTCTCTAAATATATCAAAACCTTAATTAAAAACATGTTTTTTTTTATTTCCTCAGGTTTTCTTTGACTCCTAGTAAATCATCTGAAACAATAAAGTATCATAAAAACAAAAGAGGATAAGTAAAAGGGATAAGTGTGTTAATGAAACAGTAAATGCTGCTGTATTGATTCATACAATATACTGATCATACCGAGAGTGAAAATGCATTTCCTGCAGATGTGTTGCTCACAGGATCTCTGTGATTTATTCTCCTTCTCTGAGGAGGCTTTTGCAGTTTTTGTTATCCTTTTCCTCTTTGATATTGGAAAAAAAATGAAAGAGGCCTTTATCAATGAGACGCGGTAGCTGTTCTTTACGGTACCTTTTTGCTGTAACCCTGTCGCTTTTGCCGCGAACCAACGGAGTAAAATGCAGGAATCAGGTCCACAGGGCAGTCGGCAAAGTACTCACAGCAGGTTACAGGAGACTCGTGGATCGTTAGAGGATATGGGTTCTCGAATATGGGGTAACTGTTAACAAGGTCGGAACAAACACCGATCACACAACTTGTTATGCATGAAGTGGTTCCACGTTGACAGAAGTGTTAAACACGCTTGCTTTATGTACATTGCATTTTGGAATATGACAAGAAAAAAAGAACAATAAATGGAAACAGAGGTACTCCCAGGACAACTTTAGTGGTCAAAGGAGCTTTAAATAATGTAGTTAAGAAAGTAAGACTTACCCATTTTGTGCAAGGTCGATCACCACTAAATCTTTTTCTAACAGGACCACCACAGCGTAAGGCTCCTGAAAATCTGCAAAAGTTAACAGATGGAATCATTTATTAAACACTTGGGAGAACGCCCCTGATTCCTACAAACCACAGAAGAACGAATCTTTCATAGAAAATTCGAACTGGATCAGTCTGTGTTTTATCTGGATAAACCGTCTTGGAAATAATTTTGATTATAGATTTTCATGAAAACATGTAATCTACGAACAATTCACAGGCCCAACATTGTAGCTAATACACTGGCACCCCATTCAAGCTTGTTTTTGTAGTGAATGTATGCAAATATTTAATCTTTAGAGACAACAGCGATCACTAAGCTGTTCCGTGCTGACAGCTGCTTAACGACATCAGCCTAGAGTTAAGAGCGTGTTTTTAGGGGACGTTGAAAAAGTTTATTATTTCCTTCTTTTTTTATATATAAAGGAATAAAAACAGAAAACTGGCTTTTTAGCATTAAATTGCTTTTTGGCATCAGGCTTTCTCTAAACCTTATAATAAATTGGTAACACTTTTTTTGAAGGGGTGTCCGTAAGACTGACATGAAACTGTCATAAACATGCAAAGGTGCTCTAAAAGTTGCATTAAAGTGTGAATTTAGCATGAATCAGTAAATAATGTCACTTTTAATGCAAAGTTCCATTAAAACTTGCATTAAAAGTCAATTAAATGTGTCAACTTTGCATTAAAAGCGTCATTATTCACCGAGTCTTAAGCATCCATGAAGACTCCTACATGTTCATGGCAGGTGTTATGTCATGTCTAAGACAGAGTCGTGTCTTATGCAGGTAACCTTCTAATAAAGTGTTACCAACAAATCTACGTAGTATTGCATTGTAGGTTTATTTTCATCATAGATACAGCTGCTTGTTACACTGGAATGTCTGAATTTGAGGTAGCTTTACAAACATTTCCACTTAAACAAGTGAATATCAGGTTTCTATATTTTCTGAAGTATAACATTGATAACGACTGTCATGCTGGAACTAGTCCAAGTTATACCCGTTATATAAAAAAATAAAAATAAAAAAGAGGTAAATCAGACAAGTATAAAGTATAAAATAGGAATGTTCTGAGTGGCTTGATGAAGGCTGCAGTCCAACAAAAAAAAAAAAATGTTTTTGTTATTGAAATCCTTGTACGCTTCATTTGGAATTATATGCAAATTTCATCCATAATATTACCAAAAACCTGTGTGGTTTATAAAAATTTCCATGTTCATAATTTGAAAATTGTTAGACAGGCTATGCAAATCAGTTTGCAGACAAGAGAAGGCCATCCCTGACAATATAAGTGTTTTAATTTAAAAGTTAACTTTTTCTGCAATTCTCATCTGAATGTGCAATGAGTTATGGTGCCAGCAAAATGATCTATGAGTGAAAACAGAAGTAACATGTTTCTGCAAATTGCTCTACGTGAAGAAATAATGTCAACAGGAGCAAAATTTAAACTGATTAGACAACTGGCTGAAGGTTTTGAGTCAGATATATTCAGGAATAAATGACAATTTTTTTTTTTATATTTTACGTGAGCACATTAAATCTGGTTAATAGAGCAATGTATTAATGCTGACCTGTTTGGCTGTGCAGGGAAAATATTAATTTTTACAAGATCAGAGTGGCACATGAACATCAACAACAACAACAACAACAAAAAACTACGTTACTGACTGTTGGGCCATGCCAGCAGAAACATGTCTTTTGAATGCATATAAACTAATACGATGCATGGGGCTGTGGAAGCCATTTATATTCCCCCTCCAGTGTTATTACATTTAGGATTACTGCATGTTCTGAAGCCAATTGTTGTACCGTGTAAACAGATCCCGCAATTTAATGAGGATTTAAGTGCACACCATCACACACCATCAGCAGACGTGTCTTGAGCAGCAACAGCAACCCAGTTGTGACCATCACCAGATTAAAAAAAAAAAAAAAAAAAAAAAAGCAGGGGGAGGGGCCCCACGGTTCCCCGGTATTTAAATGAATTTTTAATA